TATTGTGGAGCTCTCTGGGAGATCACAGTATCCTCTTGCACTCATTTACTTTTACAAATACAACGAAGTGCAAAATTGCAATATTCAAGCTTGATGTCTTACCAGCTCTTAACAGGAGGAAGCAAGTGGTAGCTTCTTCCAAAAGACAAGACAGAAGGTGAAATGAAAACAATGGGGCAGGGAGAGCACGTGTTACAGTTTGTTCTCCTCTCCACTAAAGCTACAAGGGGCTCCATGAGAGCCTCTACTGCCAAACCTCCTACCTGCCCAGAGGGGTAGTATGTTAGCCAGCGCTCCAGGTGAGTTGAATACCAGCCAGGGAGCAGGCATCGGCTTTGCAGGTTGCGCAGTTCCTGAGGGGCCTGAGATTTTGCAGAGATCACTTGGTAGAAAGTGTAATTGAGCGCCACAGGGTCATTGTGAGCACGCTGGTGCTGAAAAAAAAAAGCTGAGTTTAGGAGCAGGAACACAAAATTCCACCTTACACATCTCCGTGCAGACCCCATGACTCGGCACAACCATCCACCGATGCCTTTGTATGTAACTCTGTCCCCACGCTGCAGGCAGCCTGCATCATCTGCCCTGGCACCTCTGTGGAAGTGGATCCATGGGGTCTCTGCCCCAGGCTTTCCACCTCACCCCGCTGGAATCTGTCTCTGGCCTTCACCCGCAGGGCAGTTACCTGGTACCACGAATAGGCTCGGTCAGCAGGGTTGATCAGAACAGTGATGATTTTGGCTCGAGGCAGCAGGGCTGCACCACGTTTTGGTACCACCTCTGTGTCAAAGTAATTGGCACTCTTCTCAAACATGAAGTCTGTGCTGGCATTGGAGGGGATGGGAAAGAATTCCATGTACCTGCCGAACAGATGGGACACTGGTGAGCAGCATGGCCCAAACAAGGAAATGGCACGTGACAAAATGGTGCCCTTGCTCTTCAACACAGTTCACAGAACAACTGCACATCCCCAGCAACGCAATGAATGGGCAAATGGGTGCAGAGCTGGCAGAGGCACGACTTCAAAAGGGGTGGTGGAGCACAACACAGAAAGTTGGAGGTGATAAAAGGGTAAGAAAGTGTTTTGCTTGTTTGCGTGTTCCCCAAGTCCTCAGGCAGCAGAAGGAAAAGGCTGAGGGTAGGGTACTAGCAGCAAGGTCTAGGAGAAAAGAGGGTTTTGTCCCAAGAGTGAGGCCCCAATCAGCTGCCTGCCCTGCCACTGACCACGTGGTTTAGACCTGTCTAAACCATTTCTCTCTTTGTACCTCAGTTCGTAGCTGAAACACAGGGTCAAGAGCTCTGGTGTGCCTCACAGGAGCTTGTGAAATTTGTAACGCAGAAACTGTAAGACATTCAAATAATGGTAGGGTAGAGGGTAATGGGGGAATGGGACACTGTAAAGCACCAGAAGACTGGTCTCCGCTGAAATTTAAGCTGTACAATGAACTCAAATTCCATCCTAAACACGAAGATTCTCTTCTTGCATGTGATGCTACACTCACGTTGCATGACTTTTCCAGGGGATGCACATAAAAGCCTAAGCTTTCTAAGCCTATCTATAAGCCAGTACAACTGCTCTGTAGTGCTTGACTCATGTGAGCTTCACTCACGTACCAACCGCCTTCCAGTATCAACAGTCCTCTAAATGATTAGAGAAGTGAGACAAAATCTCCCACAGCTCACGGGCAAAGAAATCCCACGGTAGAATGCCTTACTGCCACAGAGCCGTCCCTCAGAGCCATGCATGAGGGTGTGCAGTGCCACAGGGGACCCAAAGCGCATGCTTCGAGCAAGAAACAACTTTAAAATTTCTCTGTCTGGAAACATAGTGGCATAATAGTGCTATAGTGACACTTGTATTTCCCTGCCAGGTGGAAACATTTTATTAAAATTGCGTACTTGTACAGGTAAAGAACAGGCTATGGAGGTGGCCAAAGAGACACTGGAGCCAGTGGAAGGAATGCAGTCTTGTCTCTGTACAGTCTAAAGGGCCCCAACAACAGCATGGAGGTTGTCCCCTCTGTCCTACATGTCTTAACTCGGAAACCATGGAAGAACTATGAGCACGCTGTTGTCTATTTTGCATGTCAGAGGAGAAGTCTCATGACAGCTGTGCATTGAACAGAGACTGAATTTTTAAAGCTAAATCATGCCTAGAAATCTCCTGGCAAACAGTCACCAATATCAGAAACTACCTGTCCTGCTCCTGGGACTAAGCAGTTGGGTTAGCAGGAAAACAGAGAATGTATGCCGAGCAATCGCAATGAAAACAGCTGTTCAGGAATAGAGACACTACTAGGGTGGCTGAAGTGGACATACAGAGAGACTCAGGAGAAGACAACATGGGTGCACCTTATCACAGAAGAACACGCGTCAGGATTCTTACCAATCGATTCCTTTATGGTAGTTGGGTCCATTAAAAAACTGGATCTCCTCGAAGGTGGATGGACTGGGGAAGTTACTGGTGACAGCTGGATGCATGGTCAAGAAGAAGTGCACAGCTGTTGTGCCTGCAACAGGAACCAGTTAACGGGACGTGGGTCACACATAATGCTTGGCTGAATGAAAGGCTTTACACTGCAAAAACCAGTCCCCAAGTGGGCGCGCTCCTACCATGCCTGGCTAACCCACCCCTTAACTGATGCAGGTTACAAGAGCAGCAACACCAAGCACTTTGGGATTGAACTTGACTCAGCATTTCAGTCCCACATTTCAGCTCATGCAGCTGATTTAAGTCACCTCCTTAGCATGACAGCTGTCACCCATGTCAGCTATCTTGTGTTCTTCTATGGCTGGACTACCCCCATGCCTTCTTTTCCTGGTGGCACAGCCACGCTGTCATGAGGCAGGACCCATACCTGCCAAACGGGAGGTGGCCTGGGCACTGCAGGACAGCATCATGTGTTTGGGAAGGAACTGTGCTAGGGACACCACTACTGTCCTTGGGTAAGAATCCAGCTAGAGATGCCTTGGCCTGCCTCTGCTCTAGATGTTTTCCCTTTACCCAGCCAAACCCGATAATCCTGCTCAGCACGCAGCTGTAGGCCTCCAGCAGGCCGATAAATCAGCCAAGAGAAGGGTTTTCTTACTGTGCCACTGCAAGCAGCTTGGGCTGTGATACAGGAGGGCCCATGCTGCACACACATCAACAGAGCTTCACAGGGACGCAGGCAGGAGGCAGCAGCTTGGCTGGGAAAAGCTTCCTCCCAAGGCCAGGATCACCATTTGCTGTGCATGGTTGGCAGCTGCTGTTTCACTGCCCTACAGAGAAAGCCAATGTTTGAAGACCTGGCTTTGGCTGAAGAGATTTTGCTCTCTTCAGCCAAGAAAGGACTCCTCAGGACAGTACACACAGCCATGCCACTACCAACCACAATGCCACAGCAGTTAAGAGGTGGTGACAGAGGTCAGACAAAAGAGGATCTCTACCTCCCACTGCCAGTGACATGGAGCATGCAGTGGGTACACAGATCTGTTGCAATAAAAGCACTAGGAGGCATTCCTTGTAACCTTTGCTAAGCGTGTGCATTGAGCCCTGCGGACAGCTTGTGTTTGTGACACACTAAGAAAGGTCACATTCTCTAAGCATATGTGGAAAAGCGAAAACACGACTCTGCAGGTAGGGCTTTTCCCTGCAAATCAGGACTGAGCCAAGCAAAGTGCCAGGGTGCAAAGTACTGATGGACTTGCCAGATTTAGGTTCGAACAAATCTGAGATTCTCTGAAATGTCCTCTGCGGCCATTTGGCAGCTTGCACAAAGGGCAGCCATACAGATCTACAATGCAGACCTTTCCAGCTCTCCTCTCTGGAGGAATGAGAGGGAAGCCACAATCTATCTTCAGATAAAGTATTCACATTACCAGTTTTCTGAGGTCCCACGATGAGGAACTTGGGGAGTCGATCGCATGTTTTCTCTTTGGACCAGATATCCTTGTGCCTCTTATCATCACAGGGATTCTGCAGCACAAGTGATGGGATTAAGCATTACCACAGGAGCTAATGGAAAAGGGAGGAAAAGCTGGCAGGCCAGTCCTCTCGGGAAAATGCTATTAGCATGTGAAGAACAACACTTCACGGCCACACTGCTGCTCTGCCAAGCATCAAGAAGAGTTAAATAAAACCACAGGGGAACATTTTCGAAAGCTCCAAAGTGGTACAGGAGCCAAAGTCCCTCTGAGAGTGTTAACCACAGGCCTTGCCCTATGTAGCCACCACGACAGTACAGCTCAGCATCTGTGAACTTCTGGCAGAAAGACAACTCTATCACCTTCAGCTAATTTCATCTGCTCATTACTATGCAGAGAGCTGCTGCACTGGGATAAAATGGAATAAGCATGTTTTTATTTAATGAACACGAATTTTGCAGTGTGAAATTACTTTAAGATTAATCACATTAACATGCCTGCAAGCTCCTCCAGCATCAACCAGGGTTCTTCCTCGCACACTTAACATTACACAGCAGCTTGCTCTAATATAAGCCCTTTAACAACCCAAATGCCCGCAAGCCTGCCCCCCCCAGTCACTTATGACAGCCATCCCTGTCCCTAAGCTCACACCATGACTGTGTCCTACTGCTCCTACTCCCCATCCCTGCCACCTTGCAACTGGCCACTTGCAGCCTCAAGCCACAAAGGTTAAACTTAAAAGCTTTATGCATTACCCCTCTGTGCTCTGATCAGCAGTCTTGCCACACTTTAAATGTGGGACATACCTCTTGGAAAACCACTAGGAGCAGTTAAAGCTGCCTTCTCACCTGCCACAAGGGATTCTTCTCCTGGGGAAAGATTTCGAAGTACTTTTTTGCAAGTTGGACAGGGGGCAGAGTTTGCAGGCGAAGGTTGGTCCAGCACTGCACAAACTTGACCAGGCTCTCAAAAGTGTACAGTCCCAGACGGTCATTCCCGTAGTTGGACAGGTGGGTCATGAAGATGCTGATCTGAAAATAGGAAAGATATGGGATACTGGTAAATCAGGTAACAGTACTGTGTCCTCCTACCTTGATTCCACTGTCAGCAAGAGGCTGTTCACATCCCAGACTGCCCTGGCTGTCTGGGTTGATGAATGTTGTCCATCTGCCAGGATAAAGCACTGCCTTGATGAAAAATGAAAGAAATGTAGTGCTAGCAAGACAGGAGGAACTCAGTAGAGGAGGGACACAGACCTCTTGGTAACCCCCGGGGAATGGTGTGGGAGGGTGATAACTGAGCCCTGGATGTGAGTCCAGAACAGATTCAAAATCTCATTCAAGTGGCTCTGGGACATTTAGGGGAACAAGGGTTAGTCAGTGACTCCCTTCTACTCAAAACCTTGCAAAGCCTTTTTCATGGGAGACCAGGAGCTTCCCCTCCTCTCCAAGGCGCAACCAGGGCAACCTCTCTAGCTGCAGTGCCTGCTACAGCACGGGGCGGGGGGGGGGCAAGCCAGGGAGGGGCAGCACGCTGCAGGCCAAGGCACAGGGGGCCAGGAGTTATTTCTAGGCCCACACCCTGTCAGCTTTCATTCAATTTGGAGTTGACATCTCAAATGTAAAGGAACAAATGGCAATTCACACTTCAGAATACAAACAAGCGTACCTGGAGATCTGAACATGGGCTGCAAAGAGACATTGCACTAGGACATTGTCCTAGGAACAGACACCAGCTGATAAGGTTTTAGCTTGCAAGAGCCTTCAGCATAGGCAGCCCCTGAAAATTGTGCTGACAAGCCTGAGGACACCCATGGAAGCCCCCCCAGCACTGCTGTGCTCAGGAGCTGGTGTGCTATCTCTGCCTTGCCAAACCATCTCTTCTCTCAAGCATATACATTTCTCTCCTGTCTGTTTTTCGGTATTTTAACTTTTGGAAAAGAGTGCAGAAGACTGCTGTCAGCTTGACTCTGGTGTGTGGCTTTGCCAGGTCCCATGGAATTGGGCATCCCACCGCTTTGCCAGACACAAACCACACCATGGCCAGAAGTTAGCAAAATGAAAGCAGAACACTAAGGCCAATGGCAGAACGAATGACTACGTGGATGATTTAGCACTCCCCACCCAGTGTCTGCTAGTGCAGGGAGGGGAAGAGACCTCAATCAGCACCCACTGCTCAGGGCTGAATCCTGATGATGCCCGGTAAGGTCAGCAGGCAACAACAGGCTTCCCTGGCAGGGGGCAGGAATGGCTTTTCCACTCACGGTAGGGGAAGAACAAAAGGGGGAAGCAGGAGACAGATGGTCTTGGGATGAAGACATTTGCTGGCACTCAGGAGGTCCGAATTCAGTGTTTTGCCCAGTGTCACCATGGACTGGTATCAGTGCAATGAGAGGTACTGACAGTAGCTCTTTATGCCTGAGCCATCCTCGAGACACTGTGAATTTAATGCTGTCTGCAAGGCGCTTGGGTAGGCAACAGAAAACAGTGGTAGGACTCTGGGACACATGGAAAGTAAGCAGTTAAAGACTTATCACATTGGTCTGCCTGTGAGTTTTTCACTTCTGGTTTCCTACTGAGCTGACAGAGAGGCCCTGCCAGACAGGCTCTGGCACCTACACTTCAAAGAGCAGTGTGTGCTTGGTGCTGTTGTGTAAAAACAATGTGCTAAATCCACAGAGCAAAGGACAGAAATATCTTCTGTGTAACTGTAGGGCCATGCCATGGAGCACATAAGGCAGCAAAAGGATGCGTCTCACATATTTTGCCCATTTCTGAGAGACACCAGGAAGGTGGTGTGACAGCAAAGGGTGGCTCATCCCTTTGATTTGCTAGTGAAACATTTAGAGGAAAAATCTGCTGCATGAAGCGTCTGGCTCACTGGCATAAACCAAGTACTGCAGCAGGGAGGACGCAGGTCATCACCTGGGGCCTGTTCAAGATTTCCAGAATAAAAAAAGCCCACACCTGATCCAGGTTAGCAACTGTGTCTCAAGACTGATTACATTCAGTAAAATGTCTCACACAGGTAATGCTGTCACCTGCAAACAGTCCCAAGCAACTGCATTTAGAAGATGACCAGACAAGACCAACCAAAGAGCCACTTCCCTGTACTTCTGGGTGTGCAGTCACGTCCTGTAACACATATGTACTGTTTAATAAGGCCTGGCAGCATGCTCTGCCTCGTCACAGCTACTGCTGCCAAAACAGTTCTGAGCACTACTTCTGAGATAGCTACACTCAAGTCCCACCCCTCTCTCCCTCCCATCCACACCCAGTGACCCCGGGGGACTGGCTTGGTAATAACACCTCCCTTCTCTCCCCCTCCCCTCCACCGTCAGCACGCCATGGTTCCCTTTCCTTTACACTAAGGAAAGATGAGAAGAAAAGTCACAGAGAGCCTAGAATACAGAAAACAGGAGGGTATGAGCATCCTTGCAATACATAACAAGCAGCTGTGGGCACAGCAGTAACCTGCCTGCCTAGTGTGAGTAAAAGCGTTTGTGAAAAGTGATCATAAAGATGCTCTTTGCTTCTGGGAAACAGTGACTGGGCACATGCAGCCTGTCTGCTGAACATCAACAGCTATTCTCCTTCCTGACATCAGACCTTGTTCACTAGTCAGAAGATCAAACATCTTCTGTTTGCACTGTGGAGTTAATCACATGCATACAGGCTTGGAGACCCCTGCATGTGTATATCCACTCAAAGGGAGCCGGAAACACCAAAAAGGACTGAAAGAGCCTGGTCCAAGTCTGCCCTGGATCACTGCTGGGGCTGCGGGGCTGGCCAGCTTTCTATCAGGTCCAGGAGATGGCTCTATCAGTGAGGGGAGGAATGCAAGGGTCTGAGTCACTGTGCAAACACAAGCAATGAAGAGGAGCTTAGAGCACAGCACTCCACTGCTGACAGAGAGAGAAATGCTCCACTGCCAAAAGGAAGCAAAATGTAAACATCGGAAGCATCTGAAGGCGCCTGAAAGAGTTTTAAAAGTCACCATGAAAAGCCAACAGTAAATCTGGCAAATAAGCTCATCCTGTACCAGAGCACAATCTTCCCAAACTTTTTGGATTACAGATTACTGCCAGCTGCTTCGACCATCACATGCTTATCAGCAGATTTTAATGGGTAACTCTAGGAACTATGTTTCTATAAATTCCTTGGCACAGCCTCCTAGACCAGCAATGGTCTCTGTATTACAGTCTGGGAACTGGTTTTTGCAGGAGAAACCTAGAGCTCTTAAGTTTCACAGTGGTTATTTCTCCAGACATTCCTTAAGATCTGACAATTACCAAGTGGGACAAGGTAAGATTCACCCAACATATGGGAACAGAAGCCCAGAAAAGCAATGGTCACAGAGAAGAAAGAAGTTCCTATCTGACTGATCACTCCATACATAATGTAAAGAATAGCCTTCTCCTTACTACAGACTTTTATTAAGCAGGTAGATTTGGTTGTTGTGTGTAAAGATAACAATTCTGTCTCAGGTGATGGGGACAGAAGGCTGGCTTCCAGATCTTGGGGACATAAGGTTAGCTTCCAGGCCTGGAAGTATGAACCCCTACAGCTTTTTAGCTAGGGCTGTTACAGACCCATACCTTCTGCGGATCACAGACCAAGCCAGAGCTGGTCACAGGCTATCCTTCAGAAACAACAGTTTGCAACCTACAGCTTGTTTGTGTGATGCACCTAGAGCACATTGCGGGGTGTCTTTTCACTATCACAGTTCTACTTCTGGTAGAGAGGTACTGAACATTAGGAAAAGCAAGAGACAAGAAAAAATTAAACTCATTGAGGGAAAAAGCTTGATTTTCTGATTCACTGAGCCTCTACAGCCCCAACCAAAAGTGGCTAAAGCTGTGTATTCAACCCTGCAACCAAGATGCAAAAGAAGGAGGGAATGAAAGAAAACACCACAGTGAGCAGAGCCACACTGATGTTACATGACAAATCCCACAAAGAAGTACTCAATCCAGGGTTCCCCCCCATGGAAGCTAGTCAGATCTGCCTGCATGGCTTCTTGCCCATACTCAGGCACTGGTGGAAAAGATGTATAAAGGAGAAGTAAGAAGGCAGAAATTTGGAAGTCATGAAAAAAGGAGAGATTAAACATCATTATATTCAGGCGTGGCTATAGAGGTAGACATTCTAAAATCACTGTCTAAACCTGGGAGGGCAATGTCTGTTCAGAGAAAGGGAGGACAACATGTACCAAATCAGCTTTCGTAAGAAAGAAATTCAGGTGGGGAATTGAGAAAGTTACTGTACAATCAAAAAGAGCAGCACGTCTTCCTGCTGCAACCAACAAGCAGGAAAGTGATAGCGAGTGATCTGTGGTTGGAGAGGGCTACAAAGCTTCATCTCCTAATGCTATCCATTCAGGATTGTCTAAATATGATCCCTTCTTTCTGTGTCTTGCTACCTAGTACATCTTCCCAGCTTCAATGGGAAGTGAGAAACTCATGTGATTTGTCATCCATGGCTAAGAATGGGGAAGGGACTGCAGGGTGTTGAAGATACTACATTAGCTTGGTAGCTTGACAGAACTGTCAAGTACTGAAAGGGAAAAAGAAACACCTGTGTTAAAAGAAACACCCAGATCTCCCCAAAATGCCCTAGGGCAACAGCTACATCACAAAAAAAGCATTCGGAAATTGTTTCAAGTGTATATATACTGAAAGAAAGGTGAGAACACTCCATAACGAAAGCCCAGAGAAAGCAATTATTCTGAACAAAACTCATCAATGAGCCAGGGGAGAAGCCAACAGGCGGCAGATGTGTGTCAAACAGAAGGAGCCAAGGTACATCTCACTTCTGATTCATGAAGATGCAGCAGCCTAGCTAGCACTCACTCTACGCTGGGCCATGCTCAGCACTGTCACCCTGGCTAGATTCTATCTGCAGTGTTGTACTTGTCAACACTCAAAACTGTCATTAAGTGTTAAAGCCAAGCAGCATTAACTAGCCAGTACTTCCTTGGCCCTCTTTTTCACATCTCCCTAGCATCACACTGGAGATACCCACACCATGACAGGTGGTTATACTGAATCCCCTGTAGGATCTAGTCCTTTTCCCACATCAGGCACAGAAGCCGAGACACCTGTGCACCGATTCCCCTTTTCAGATGAGCTTACCGGGTTCAGGAGCACTGTCAGGAAGAGTTCACCACCACGAATGCTCTTGTCCAACTCCTTTGAGCCACCGGGATATTCATTATAGAAGATAGTGTGGGTAAAAAGACCACAGGTCTGTCGAGGCAGAACCTGGCAATATCGGAGAAAAGCAAAGTTAGATAAGAGGCAGATGTAGCAGAATCTACACGTGAATGTGTCAAAGCAGCACTCTCTGGGTCAATATAAAGAGTAATGGACATAAGCAACACAGGTTCAGAGGATTCTTCTGATATTCCTCCCAACCATTTACTCATCACAGTACGAACAAGTCAATGGCATCTCAGTTTAGTCTCCTTGTGCTTAGTTTTGCTCTCTGTTCAGTAATGAACTCTGAATTGTACTGAGAAACACAGAAACTGGCTTTAGCCAAGTTTTTTCTCTTTGCTTGACTTAATGATTTTGGAAACACTGGTGATACTAAGATTGAGGTCTCTAATGCAGGTCACTAGAAAACTGTCCCTTGGGCAGGAAAGTGGACTCTGCTCACCATGATTCCATTATGGATGAATCCACGCCGATACCGGGCAGGCCGTAGGTGTGGGTATTCCTCCGTACTCGTTACTTGGATGCTCCAAACGGATTTCCATGCCTCATAGAGTTGTGTGTGGACAGGATAAACCCCAGAATGATGGGGCGCTACAGCATAGCCCAAGTCTGTAGGAATCCCATGCTCCTGGAAGCAGAATATGCAGCTTGATCATTCAATATTTAACTAATATCCTTAATAAGGATCGTACTTAGCAATAGACTCCAAGTTGGAGCAAGGTGACAGAGTAACATGAAAACTCTCAGGATTGGGAAATCTGAAACACTGCTTGTACTTCTTGTTTTATGCATCTGTAGAAATACAAGGGTGACTGTGTACCAACAAGGACTTTCAGCACTGGTAACAGCTGCTGTAAGAATGGTCTTGTAGCTTGCAGGTGTGACAAATCAAATTAATTCACAAGCCTCAGGTCAGGCTCCTTGGTTACTACAAACTAATCAATGCTGTTAAGTGACGTATCTCACTCCCACAATGCCTAGATCTGAGTCACTAGAAGAGGAAAACAAAATTTCCTTAACTGAGTAGAAGGAAAGGAACGTGACAACTGGGATCTGTCTTGTCTCTAGCAATTCGAAGAAAAGCAGACATGAAGCAAGAGACTCTTGAGGGTGAAGATACGGGGCCTGCAGCTATACTAAAATGACAGGAAATATCTGAATTTCATGGTTTTTAATTCCACTATGTGGTTCTGGTAACAATATGACAGATGACAGCTCTGCCCTGGTAGTGTACAATAAAACCAGAGCCCCTAAATGAAGCAACAACCTTCTCCTTCCCACCACTAGCCTGTTTTACATTAAATACGTGTAATTGTGTTCTGTGCTTTGTCTCTCTTTGCAAAAGACTGCACTGTTATTTAACCAGGGAAACAAGGAGCCTAAATTGTTTCTATAATGCTGTAACTGTGCTCTGAATTCAAGATCATTCCCAATTTGTGTGTGTCATGGGAACACAAGACAGCAGCCTGCTATTCCCAAGGGGATTACCATCAAAAGAACCAAACTAGAGGTGAAGAGGACACTTCTTTTCAGAGAAACATGTATGGTATATCCAACTCTGGTCTGTAAGCATCAAACAGTCATTGTTCCAGCAACGCAGGATGTTCAAGGCTTCCCCCTCCTCTGCCAAAACCCAGGGAATTTCCCTGGACTTCCTAGATAAGTAACTTCCTTCAGCATTGTCTGGGGAGGCCAGAAGTAGGGCTGTTAGCACACAGAGCATTTTATACTACCGACCAGGTGACTTCCTCACAAAACCACAGTGAGTAAGGATGGAAAAGGAAATGCTTTCTCACTGCCAGAGTTTGTAAGTTAATTGGATTTGGATGGTAATGCTACAAATTCACACCTCAGCAAACAAGAGCCTTGGGATTTGCACCCTGGAATGTAGTGGAGCTGCCTGGGGCCATGCAGGTGCCAGGAAGCACTTCCCATTGCACAGGCAGGCATGCAAATGGTGTTTCTTGCCTGAATACAGCAGGAGCCACACACCAATTTAAACTTTCAGAACTGCCTTTCTTAACTGCAGCTGAGTTGCAGTACTGGGGTTCA